TAAAATTATCACTCGCGATGCCACAAATTTCTGATCCGGGAGAAAAAATCAAACAACGCAGATAGCGTCAAATCTTCTGTTGCTTGCAAACATGATGAATCATGTTTTCTTTCTCGATTCTAAAACTTCTCGGAAAGCGAGAAAACAACCAATCACACACGTATAACCGTCCGGGAGCCAGAGTGCCAGCGCTAATCCGGCAAACTTCCGTGCCATGATGTCAATGTCATCGGCGAAGCCAAGAAGCTGGATGGACTTCCTGAAGATCGTGCCACTCGTGTCTTTCCCAGCTCTTCTGATCACACCTTCTAACGCGATGTTGAATAGCAGATACGAAAGTCCATCACCTTGCCGTAACCCCCTTCGAGATTCAAAGGGACTCGAGTGTGTCCCCGATACTCGAACAACGCACATCATTTGATCCATCGTCGCCTTGACGATGCATCAGTTTATCCAGAAATCCGTACTCGTGCATAATCTTCCATAACTGATCTATCTACCGAATACCACATGACCATGTCAATAAGCCATAAACACTACAAATTAAGGTAAGGCTTTCGCTAGGGCGCTAGTAAAAGCAAAAACACTCGAATTTATATGAAGCAAAGAAATTCTCCAATCAATTTTCGCTCTTGATCTAAACGTAGGTTCCGTCCGGTATGCTCAGTTTCTGTGATTGATATGTTTTCCTTAATACATATTTCTTTTCCACACCGCTATAATCTCCAAGAACATCGAGGAAAAAATTCCACAGCATTTTTCTAAACTGGCTTCCAAGCTTCCAACCCACCGGTCTAACCAAAGTTAACTAAAGCGTTCAAGTAAGAGCTTGTATCCGAGACATCAAAACTACCTTTCGTAATCCTTCGTCAAATCTACGGTCGTGTTGATTTTCAACAAGAAACTATTGAAAAACTGGCAAATGTCCAGCATTGTCCAAAAGCGTCGAATTAACTAATAAATCCACCAATTACCTACATGCATATGCTGCTTCCCCAGCACAGTCGTCAGAGAATAGTAAGTAGACGAAACAAGTCGAAGTGGCATTCGCCTCCGATCCTCGGGCGCGTGCAAATAGGGAGGATAGAATTGCGTAATATTTTGCACACTCATCGCCATACTCAGAACCACACGCTCCTAACGACCACACCACTGTGTGGTGGTGTTCGGTCGTCGAAATTAGTAGCAGCAGTAGCAGTGCTTTCGGCGTGTGGCGTTGAAAATTGTTCTTCAGTAACAACGAAAGGCTGCATGCATGCAGCGAGCTGCAGAGCCCACTTAAGCAACCATCAAAGGAGGAAGAAGCTGCACCGCTATGCTATGGATCGGAATCAGTAGCTCTTCGTGAGTCGCTGCGGGTCGGTCATCTATGCCAAGCGTGTTACGACATACAGCTCGACAGCCTCATCCGTGTTGAACACCCAGCTCAGAATTACTCAACCATCACTACCATACGGTCCTTTTCAGGGCCACCAAAAACTTGTTCAAGAGTATTATTTGGACATTGGTCAAGGTCATCAGTTCCCGCAAGTAGCTAGCTAGCAAGGCTCAACCTGTCTATAGAAGGTGTGGAATTGTAGGCCTGAATATATTGGTGCAATTAGTTTTTCCTCGGCTTTCATTCTGCACGATTCGTTTCTTTCGTTTAATCAATCACCCTTGTAGTGACGTCGAAAAGATTGTTTCAATCTGCGCTTACATATGAAATTTAATGTGGATTATAGCATTTTTTGTATGTTACCAAAATTTATGAATCGTTTGCCACTAAATGTTGAGATAATTTATTGATTATTGAATTATCACACTGTATACCATGAAAAAGCAGCCTGTTTGTGAGTTTTTGCCTGTTTTCAAGTAAGGAGTAATCATTAAAAACAAATCGCCAACTGGTATTTCCCGGCGACTTTACAAATAAATAAAATCAAACAAAATCATCATGCAGAACTAGCTAGGATTTGTTTTACTTCATATTTCACAAAATTGCTTTCGAGTGTTAAGACATCGTCTCCCGCAAAGTTTACATTTTTCCCTCAACCAACACATACATCAGGGCTAGATAGATCTCCACAGGATCTATAGAATCCACGCAATTTCAAAAAACCAAAATGCACAGCATTACGAAAAGAGGTCAGATTTCGACCAATAGCAGATAGATTTTAATTCTAAACAAGCCAAACGATTGAAAATTTATCTACCAATCTGCTAAAATAAACACTTAGTTAATTTTCAATAGGTAACTATTGAAAAATACCAAATGTCGAACTGTTGCAATGGTGATCAAAATTATCACCGAATGTCTGAAAACAGTGCATTCCCTAACACAGACTTTAAAATCATATTCGATGCGGTCCCACTGAACGGTGCTCATTCAATCACCGTAAGTGGTGGTGTCCAGTCCAGCAGCAGCAGTAGTAGCAGCAGCAGCAAGAGTGCTTTCACCAACATCAACAACAACAACAACGAAAGGCTGCCTGCAAGCAGCGAGCTGCAGAGCTCATATGAGCAACCATAGAGAAGGAGGAATAGGTCCCACCGCTAGGCTAGGATCGGAATCAGTAGCTCGTCGTGCTCAGCTCAGCATAACTCAACCATCACTACAAAACGGTCCTTTTCAGGACCACCATACATTTGTTAACAGTATTATTTGGACATTTGTCAAGGTAATCAGTTCCGCAAGCAGCTAGCTATCAAGGCTCAACCTGGTCTCTATAGAAGGTGTGGAATTGTAGGCCCGTATGTATTGGTGAGATTAATCATCGTCCGACCATTTTCCAGAACACGCTAGTAGGAAGTGTTAAAAATCCATATAGAATTTGAGAGAAGTGGGAATAATTCGCTTTGGGTGTATATTCAGTCCCCAGAAAGCCAATAAAATCAAATTTGTGAGAAAATTAGCTCTCACGATTGCAATCTCTCGAAGTTCCTCCTTTTTTACATATTCTGCACAAACGATACTTTCCGCCCCGCCCCATTCATATAATTCGGAAGGAAATCCTGTGAGGGGTTAATTGAATACTCTTTAATACCAAAATGCGCAAATAACAAAAATTCAAAATACACCTTTTAAAGTCGGGTAGATGAATCGAAAATACTCAAGTTGTTGACAGCCCCTTGAATTCTCTTCATGAACTTTCTCTTTGAAATAAATACTACTAATTTGATACGCTTACAAATAAAACACGGAAAGAGTTAAAATGATTGATGATTGATCAATTAAAAGAACTAAATGTTTACATTTGTTCCGTCCACTAGCGGTCCTACGTCAAGCTTCCGTTCGTGCCCCTAGGCACAGACCCTTCTACTTTTTTTCTAACCGCAAGCAGCCATCATGGATTTCAAATTTTCGTCAAACATCGATTTTTGGTTCCTACACGTCACCCCGATTCTAAAAATACCCATATTGTGAGGTATTTGACAGTATTTCATAATTTGTCTGTAACCGAAAGCCGCCATCTTGGATTTCAAAATGGTGTCAGACATGGATTTCCAGTTCCTACACGTCACCCATCTAACATTTTCAGCTTTATAAACCCCCTTTTCCAGCATTGTGCTGTAAAGTAGCTGAAAAAAAGCTGCAGATACAGCTACAAGCAGAAGCTAGCAAAATAGTTTTCTAGAGCGTTTATTCAACTTTTTCACAACCATTATTCAATTTGTCAGTCATACTGAATAACAGCAGCCAATAAACGCTAATGTCACTTCTATGCAAATATTTATCAACTTACACCTTGTAGCTGCAAAATAAAGCGAATAAAGAGAATATATTACTCACTAGATGGCTTCTACACAACCAACCACTTTTGCTGAATAACATAAACATCCAAAGTGTTATTTCAACAACTACACTACCTGTACTCAGCTACATAAACTGTATTAGCGCTACTTTGGAACCCTTTTTGAAAGTCCCCTAGGTTTATTTTTAGACCTGTGCAATTTTACAGCTTTTACTCCGCTCCTGTACAAAGCTGAACCAACTAGTTGAGAAAAGTGATCTATGTGCACTACTATAAAGCCTCTACTCAGCGATCTTGTTGTAGAAAGGCATGTAGATGTGTTTACGTCAGTTCAAAGTGTTGAAGTTGATAGTGTAAAGGTTTGCCAATGCGGTCCTCTCGAGTTCGAGTCCAGGTTTCGGTGCAGGGTAATAATTTGGTGGTGTGTGTGCTTATTACTAATTTAGAGTAATTTGATTCGCAGTAAAATAAATTCAATAAATGCCCCCATCATATAAAAAGCAAACAATATACCCGGCTTCAAGATCAAGCTGTGTAGGTATTATTGGATAATCGGGAAATGGTGGAATAAGCACCTTTCAAGTTCACACACAACTAAACAGCAGAATAACAGCTGTATAGAAGCGTAAATGGATATACAATAAGAGCTTGCCACAACCATCCCAACAGCCATAAGTAGCTGACTAATTTCGCCAGATTTGCTTGTATAGAGGTTGAGTAAAGGTTCCTCATATTGTATAGTATTTCAATACAACTTGAGGCTTTATAAATGAAATAAGCAAAGCACACCGAAAATTTAAGATGCGTCTTCTATTTAAAGGTATAATGTATGTATGCAGAAAATACTATTCTTGTCCTGTAAATGCAAATTTCTTTGATATTCTTTAACGACATATCGAGTTCCGTGTCCATCAAACGGTCCAAAAGCACGATTTATTCCCATCCGCCGACCATTCTAATCCAATCAAGTATTTTGCTTTTCTCCGATCAAAACAACTGTATCTCAAGCAAACCAAACTAAACAGAATCCAACTCTTTGAACGGCATTACAAATACTGCAGAAAGAAACCCCATAGTGAAAAATTCTCATCCAGTCAAAGTTGATATGTTGATTTAAAATTCCAACTTAGCCTTTACTTCAACGAATCCTTCGATCCATTCCATCATTCTGCCCGTCTGTCCCAGTGCCCAACCCAATCGAAAGCAACCTAAAACAGCAATCTATATCGCATTTTTTTCTTCCTATCTCTCCAACATTTTTCACAGTTCCCAGTGCACAGTTTCCTCAGTCATCGGAAATCCAGGCGGTGGAAGGAAGGCGAATCTCCCTGCCGTGCCCATTATCGGCCCCGTCCAGAGATAAGGTCTACATGGTGCTCTGGTTCAAAGACGATGCCGGTATCCCATTGTACAGGTAAGCTACTTTGCTTTTTGTGGTATGGAATATTAATTCCGGTATTCCAGGTTGTGTACATACGGAGAGAAGAATTGGGGATAATGGACAGGGTATGTTTTGTGGATTTAGCTTACCTGTAACCTATATGGACTAGGCTGAAGACGAGCCTTGAATGTACAGTCACTGAGGTTATTTGAAAATTTGGCAGATACGCATACAAGCTTTGTTATGTTAAGTTTTGCGTTGAAGATATATTTGAGAATTTCGATTCATTTTGCAACAACCTCTAATGCACGACCATTCGAAAAAACGATGCGAAAGATAGTAAGTTCATCCAAGTTATTGTTTTTCTTTACACGGAACAGTATCCTGAAACACATGGTTGTACCACAAAATGGGCTGAGAGATAAGAGATGCCAGATTTACAGACATGTCTGTGAATTTACAGGCTTTTATTTTTTTTCACAGACATTTTTATCGTTGCAGACATTTACTTTTAAATTTTTTTTCCCCAGATATTTTCAGACTTTAGTAATCAAGGCAAAATTTTAAAATTTATTTAATTTTCAAATCCACCACACGAACGAGCTGTCACTGTTATAGACGGTCATAGTTATAGACCTGCCAAAGTGCTGCCCTGTTCTATCCAAAACGAACCTTTTTCATACGATTTGACGATTTGTTTGGAAACCTTGACTGTCTATAGTCACTGTCACTGAAAAAATGAATGAAACGGACAATGTGTTTCCATCTTATTCCATATTTTTATTAAAGAACATCCACCCCCGGATGCAGTTTTAGTGCTGAACGAAGCAGCCATTTTCGCCGATTTGTTCCTGAATAAGAGTCGTAAAAATGTGGAAAAAATCGAGAAAAATCAAAGGGAACTCAAGAGGAAACCCCATAACGAACTTTTTCAAAGAATAATATAATCTATAAGTTAAGGAAAATCACTATAAATACTTGCACTAATCATTATGTTGAGCATTTCGGCGCAAGTCAGAATCTGTCCACCATTGACCTTAGAGTAAAATTCTAATGTTATCTAGGCATGATGAGTTTTTGATATATCAATATTTGGCAAATTCCCCAGTGGAAGCTGGAATTCACATTTTTGTTCATATCTTCGGAACCATAATTCCGATCGGGAAAAATAAATCAATAGTGTTCTACACCGTTTGAAAAATTCATGTGAATTTCTGCGAGATGTAGCGCACATAAAATTAACGCTTGATTTGGCATAAATTTACACGATATTTCGTGTAAATTTAAGCGCAATATCGCATAAATTAGCAATATTGTATGCAAGCTTGTAAACGATTTCACTGTTTATGCCAAGTATAGCTCAAAATTAAACGAATGGAGATTTTACGCGATAGTTAAAATTCAGAATTTTTTTCTGTGTATGGGGATCTGAAACACATCTTCTGGAACTTGTTCCACTCAAATTGGTCCAACCATATCTGCGAAAATGGAGTGAGTTATACTCATACGAACTTACATACACACCGTTAGAAAAATTCATGAACATTTCTGCGAGATATAGCGCACATAAAATTAACGCTAGATTTGGCATAAATTTTCGCAATATTTCGTGTAAATTTAAGCGCAATATCGCAAAAATTTGCAGTATTGTATGCAAGCTTGTAGACAATTTCGCTGTTTATGCCAAGTATAGCTCAAAATTAAACGAAGGGAGATTTTACGCGATAGTTAAAATTCAGAATTTTTCTGTGCATAATACATACATACATACATACATACATACATACATACAAACATACATATATACATACATACATACATATTAGAGTGATGCAAAATTTGAAATTTTCGCTCCACAATACTTAAACGATTCCAAATCGGATCCTGACCAACCTCTCAAAATTTGAACCCATTTGGTGAGAAACTGAAATGGCACAAACCATTTGAAGTTTGTATGGGAATTACTATGGTAAAACCAAGATTTTTGTTCATGTCTATCTAATAATTCACCATATCGGTCTGCTTCAAAAGCTTTCAACTGTTCTTGTAGGAAATTTTTCCAGCTACAACTTTGCTAAAGACCACTTTTTGATTAAATGCAAGGATCGAAAGTTATTAATGGTTCAATGCACTGATGTCTTATGCTCATGCTCAATCAACTGCTCAGCAGGCAACATTGGTGTTTCTGGGGCGTTGAATAGGACACAAAAATTATGGCTACTATGTCACACTGCAAAATACAGTGTTGCCTACATAGCAGCTGCTTGATCATGTCATAAGTTTACCAATCTCTTAAATAATTAATAACTATTTCCTGTCTCGATTTACATAGAAACAATCTTCAGCAAAGTTGTAGCTGAGAAAATTTTCTATAAGAATAGCTATCGAACTGTTTCGCAGCTCAGTATGGAAAAATACTAGAAGGCAATGAACAAAAAGTTGAGATTTCCCATAGTAATTTACATGAAAACTTCAAATGGTTTGTGCGAAGTCTGTTTCTAACCAAATGAGTTGTAACTTTTGGAGGCTAATCACGACCCGATTTGAAACCATTTAAGCACTGTGGAGCGAAAAAGTCAAATTTTGCATCAGTCTAATACATATATACATAAAACATACACATATACACACATACAGAAACATTTCCAATCCCGCTGAGATGAGTTTATTGGTATATGGGTCATTTCAGCTCAAGTGGGTACAGAATTTAAAAAAAGTTGTGGTCGATGTCACCGATTTGAGCCAAACTTGGCCAAAACGCTTATTTTGGTATTCTGAACAAACACTTTTTTTTTACTCTGAAGTGCCTAAATCCCTCTCGGAATCCAGGATTTTCGAGATTTTTTTAAAAATTGCAACTTTCAGAAGAGATTACTCCACAACCAAATAAGCTATTCGTGATCTTAGAACGGCAATTTAAAGTTTTTTTAATGTAGATTCACATAGGTCCACCCACCTTTATGTTTGTTTTGTTTTAGTAACTACAGTAAATATGATGATTACCCAATAATTAACACATAATTAATAAATATCACCTTAATACTAACCTTGTAACAAGGTTACAAGTATTAAAAACAACAAGTTAAATACACTCCTACACAACCCCATTAAATTACTATTTTCACATGAGCGAAGCGCGTTCCACGTCTCTGGATTCAAACCGACAAAGAAGGTCAAACGAGGAATTCATATGACGATTGGTAGGTAGAGTTTATGCCACCGGATAGACTCGTCCGAATGTGTCCCAAGCAACACGGCTTGTCATAAAGAAGTTGAAAATACTTTTTAATGACTTACGTAAAGAATCAATAGTATTGTAATATACGTCATTTAATACATTTATATAACCTCAAAAGCGCAAGACGCGGAGCTTATACAACTAAATACTGGTCTTATAACATGTTTTTGGAAACATCATAAAAACCAGCGGCAAAAAAAGCAATAAAAAAAACTTAAGCATGGGATTCGATCACTGGTCCTTGGCGTGGTAGACTTATTGCTTCCTAACTAGACCAACTCCGCTTGATGAGAGGTTGGTTATAAGTATCTATCATGTTCTTGCCAATAGCATGAAAATTATATTCTCGTTCAACACACTTCCGATCCGTCATAAAGATGTTTTGTTAGCAGCAAAGCGTACATCTAATTGCCAGAGTGTTATTTTAAAGTATTTTCAACTCCTTATAAGACAACCTGCACATTTTCAGTTGTATTAATTTATGAGATGTCATAAGCAAGTGTTTTCAACTTTCTTTATAACAAACCTCCGAATACCTCATAAGAAATTGTCAATCACTGCGTGAAGAGACAGTCCGGCTCAATGGCGCCGTCAATGTTTACGACAATCTGGAAAGTTCAGAATCTCTTCAAGAACTTTATAAATTCAACTAAGATTGATTTTGTATACGACAAGTTTTATAGTGGTATTAAGACAGTAAGATGCACGTTTAAAAAACATTTAAATATAAAACCAAAAGAAAACTATTTTGGAAAATGTTGAATCTAGGAAGTATGAAGAAAACATCTATACACCTCATATATAACGAGGGATGTTTTCTGCATCACTTATAATACATTTATATAACAATCCGTTCTAATTATTTTTCAAGAAGATGTTTTATGTGTTACTTGGGGTGCGATAATGGGAACCGAACGTCAACAAGGTAGACTTCGGGTTCGTTCACGAGTCGAGATGAGAGAGACTCCCCAATTGGGTACTTATTGGTTCAAACTGCGTAAAGGGCTAGATCGGGTTAGAGCAGAGATTAGTAGGAAACGGTGGTAGAAAAAGTTAACGAGTTTTGTAATTCTTCTGGAAATTTTACGATGCTTAGTAAGTAAGTAATAATAATGTAAAAGTGCGATTTAAAATTTAAAACTATTATATAGATAGAAACTAAAAAAAAGTGCATTCGAGGTTTACGTGGAATACACGTGGGTGATAAGGTTTTCGCACAGGTAATTGAACATAAATCCCTGCAATTAACCATAGCAAACTGTGAGACATTACAATAAAACACAATTTGTTTGAAGATTTAAACCCTTCAAACAAGGGTGCACTCCTCGGGACGGAAAAATAGAACCGGTCGATAGACCTTTTTAATGCACCACCAACGTAGAGTGCGCCCCGCGAGTTGAAGAGGAAACGTCAACCAAACCGTTTGTTTACATCAGAATAAGAATTTTTCACAACGAAAATTAAAGCATTTTTCATTCAACATCTTGCCAATTTCCATCGGTAATTGTCATATTGTATGATTTTCCACTGATCTGAAGTAATTTGCACTCAAACTATGTACACACAAGAAATCCGGAAGATCATAACCACTACACTGAGATTATTAATCAAACGAATTTCATAGAAATATCGTATGATTTTTTGCGACAAGATTTTATATTGAATTTCATACGACCGAACTATGAAGAACTGGCAGGTTTTTTTTTCAATCAGCCATCGTATGATTTTTCATGCATATAACTATGAATCTCAATACAAACGAACGATAGCTATCATTGGATATTACGAACAATTT